AAAATAAACAGGCTATCATTCTTCACCCATTTGTAAGATTTATACGAAGAGAAATATCATGCAATCTGTGTGCCAAAGAAGACATTTTAAACAGCTTCAATGAAAAATATTAAGTGCGAGTTGGATTGACTGCTGTTTGTGGTGTAAAAAGATGAAGAGCCCAGGAAAATGGAAAAGATGTGTTAGAACATACAGTGTATCACTTGGGTTTCAAAACATCCTTCAAACTTCTTTCCTGCTCTACGCTAACAAGTCACAGATAACCAAAGAGATGGAGGCCCCAAATGCCTCCTCAGCCCTTCTCGACCTTTCACACTATGACATGGTAGCATGGAACTCTTCTGAGATTCACTGTAGTAAACTGACAAGGCTGCTCCTAGCCAGAGGCAACTCCTTCTGGAAACATCTCAACTGTATCCCAGTCTGATTCACACCTTCGTTACAACACAGCAAACTGCACTGGGACACCACCTGTCTTCTCTTGCTGTCAAAGCAAATACTGCACTTGACAGAGCTTCACATGTTGTGCCCCGTTCTTGCCAAATATAGGCGACATGGTGACAAAGGACCACACGTGGTACAGATGCTGAGGAAGGCCCAGTGTAGCGTCTGCGCTGCTGTGGGGACTGCTGCTGTGCTCAGGGGGCTGCCCTGGGTTCCTAGCCACGTTCAGAACAGTAAGGGAAGAGAATTTCCAAACACTGCTCTTCTGCTTCAGAGAAGTCCCTCTTTCTCCTTCCACAGTGCTCACTCCTCAGAGGCAAAGTTTAGAGGGACTTCTAGATGCCGTGGGCTTTTGTGGTCTCCAGAGAACTCGGAATCCAGGACAAGCCTGTACAGTGAAAAGCCCCACGGGGTTTCCCTCAGCTGTAGGAGGGGGCGTAATGCTGCAAAGTCAGAGTCAGGCTTTAAGATGAAATAGATTCTTTCCCCATATGTTTGGAATCACTAAAACAAAAGCCCTGACTGACTGGAATCTGCGGTCGGGCCTCGAGCTGCCTCGCAGGGGCTCATCTCAATGGGACGGGCCTGGGCTCTGGCCCCAGGGGCGCCCCAGTTCCTCGAGCCCCCTTGCCCCTGCCCGCCACCAAGTCTCTGCCTGTGTGCTTGCTCCAGCCAACCCGGTTGGCTCTTTCCTCATCCACTGCCCTCTCCCTTTGCCTGGTTAACTTCTCTAGTCCTTCACATCTCAGTTTAAACTTTGCTTTCTCTACTCACCTTCCCTGATCTTTCTGAGCAGGTCAGCCCTCTATTAGAGACACCCTCCCTCCAAGCGCTTCCACTTGCCACTTTGCATTTCTTCATGTGGTTTTCTGGATCAATGTCTTCCTCCCCCGTGAAGCTGTGAGCTCCGTGATGGCAGAGAATTGTTCTCTTGAACTCCCCGTTACTCCCCCAGCACCACCTAAGGCAGTGTCCATCATACAGCAGGCACTTAATAAATAGTTCATGATTTGTTTCATGAGTGAATGAATGAACCTGTGGACCTCATTCACCTTAGTCTCCTTTGGATTTGTCTTTCTCAAAACAGTTAACAGTAGTTTGTAAGAAGTCTTCTGGTAAAGAATGCCACTCTGTAGTTTTAACTCAGTAGGTTGGGAGGGATTGACAAAATGAACATACAGTCAGTGACCAAAATCATCCCTCTGCTTTTCTCCTACGGCTTTAGGAAAAGAGGGGAAACCTAGCATCAGTGGTCCCTATCAGTGTGCCATAGGGCATACCCCATGCTTTTTATGTAGGACCATTCCTAGAACTGGTTACAGTGAATTTATTTAAGAAAATGAAATTCATCCCAGTCTGTGGATGGACCCTCAGTCTCTAGATGTTTTAATGCTACCATGATCTTATAAAAAATTCAGCACTCTGAGATCTAAGTAGGATATTGGTAAATAAACATCACTAAAGTTGGAATTTTTAATATATATTTTATATTCAGTAAAGATTGCTTTTTAAAAAGTGAAGCCTGGTATCTTGGCAACTCAGACCATTTACCAAAATTATTCTGTGTTGGAGCTTGGAGGATGAAGTGTCCTGGGAGCTCTGTAACATTTGGTGTTAATGAGCAATAACATGAAGGATAAGGTAAGTTTAGGAAGTGGTAGTAAACTTGGACCCACTTAGAAGACAGCCAGAAAAATCAATAAAGGATTATTGACTATTTTAGAAAAGATTATTCTAAATTATTTTAAATACCTGTTTAAAAGCTGGATCACACCTCGAAATGATTTTCTCCCCTACTTCATTTTGTTTGTTTTGGCAATGAGGTGAGAAAAGACAGGAAGGACAGCTGACAGTGCTTATAGCATTAAAAGGCGAACCAGCTGATGTCTTTTCTTGAACTAAGTTGGAAGTAATCAACTATTTCTCACCTTAAAAAAAATCACGAATTTGCAGAATCCACCACAAGGACGTTTGATACCTAGGAGACTTGTAGCACTGGTATGTTGGAGCCTGCAATTTATTCTAGAAATCTTTGGCTCTTGGAAAGGGTTCAGATACATTACAAAAGTATGTTCTGCTGGTCCTGAAGTCAAGGTCATGTTAACTAGCAAATATTTAAAGGTTACTGGTATCTGATTGAGTCTAGGTGCTTAGAGTTTGTTTCCCCTAAATTTTGTATTATGATTAGTAAATATTATAAATTCTTTTTAAGAGAAACTTATTATGGAGGGCAAAAACATTCTATATTCCTTTTGTCTCAGTTAACTTCCCCAGGGAAAGTTTAGCTTTTCACACCACAAGTTTGCCCACATTGCAGCCTAATAATGCCTTACAAGGAACCGAATTGCCTCTGGAGGGTAAGGTTACACCCTGTGCTGGGAAGGGAGGTCAGATATTGCCATGTCAGGTAAGAAACCCAGATGCCCCATAAAGTGGATTCAGAAAGAATTTTGTTCCGTGGTATTCAGTTCGTTTGGGGCCTTAGCCTGGGAGCTGTAAAGAATGCCAGAAAAACACCTGGCCTTTGCAACTCTGGTGGGACAGGTGCCCACAGGGCAGCACACACTGTAGGCACTCCCGCAGGAGGAACGGGAGTACAGCAGGTTCTGGAAGTAGAGTGCAGGTCCTCTCTTCCTGTGTAAACGATCCTTCTACTAATATCACAGTGACTAGCAGCTTAAAACTCAGAGTAAACTTGGAAATCAGCTAACCCAATTCACTTAGATTTTAGAGGTAAAAACAAGTCCCAATTAACCCAATTCACTTAGATTTTAGAGGTAAAAACAAGTAAAAGACTCCCCAGTGTATGTCTGTATGTTTAAATGTCCATGTAGGACTTGATAGCACTTCACGGACAGGAAGACCGTGGGGAAGGACTAACAGTACAAAGTGTGCATGAGTTCAGCTGCCTGACTGGAATACCTCTCCGCGGTGTAGACAGCGGCAGCTGCCCTCCTGACAGTGGCAGCCTGAACTGAGTTTCCTTTGAACTCTGATGAGCAAAGCATTTGCAAGTGGGAGTTCAGTGTTGGGGCCCAAAGAAACCCCGTATGGGGCCAGATTGCCCTGGAAAAGAAAAGCTAACCTGAGAGAGTGAATGGTGTTGGCAATGAGCGTGCATTTTTCTTAATTATGCTAATTAAATCTGAAGAGGAAAAATTTCTAGGAATAATGTGCCTGTAGATGAGAAAAACTTCTTGGCCCCAGACACCGTGCTTTAGAGGGTGAATCTTGCTGAATGGCTGCTTGGAGTGTTACATTGCCCACTCTCATTTCACCGTATGGGCTCTTCATCTCCTGTATTTTATGTAACTCAGTTTCTACAGGGAAGAGAATATCCTGATTGCAAAAGGATGGGTGGGGGGATAGTATGGGAAGATACCAGTGGAAAATCCACTGTGTTCCTTCTTCTAAATCACATCCAAAGTCCCAGGAGGATAGCTTCCTCCCAGAGCTCCCTTTGACAGTCTACACTGAATATGACATGCCCAGCCTGCATAGACAGGGGATCCAGCTCCCTTGCTCTCCTGCTTCCAGCTGGAAGGAGGACTGTGGTGCCCCATCCTCAAAGTCTCCCTCAAGGAGCCCTCAGCATTCATCAATCAGCTCCTTCCTCGGGGACCCCACTGACACCTACAGCACTTTTGTTCAAAATAGAAAAAGGCCACTCTGGGCTGTAGGTCTGAGCCTTATTTCTGCATGGATTGTAAAGCTCTCACTTCTTTTTTTTTTTTCTTCCTTGTTAATTAGGCAAACAAATAACACCTCCAATTCTTGGTGCAAATGATTGGACCCACTATATGCTCCATTTTCACAGCTCCAACATAATACCAACAGGAAAGGTCTCATCATTCTATACTACAAGGCCGTTTCATGGCTGAGAAGACCTTCCGTTTTCACCGTGGTGAGCAGGGCTAATAGGAGCAGACTTCTTGTGCACAGAGAAGGTTCCTTTCTCCATTCATAATCCCAGACTGACTAGGGACAGCTGCCCTCCATGTAGTTCTCAGTTCTAGGGCATGTGCCAGGGCCCCTTCAAACGCTTGTTCCAGCCTCCCAGCACTTGAGGCTTCTCAGTCCTTCCGACTGTCTGCCCTGCTCCCTGCCCTGTACATGGTCAAATACACACATGCATCGATGCTCCATGCTCCAAGCAGATCTAGATCTCGATCTCAAGGTAGCATCACTGTGCATTTTCCCCCTTACTCTGCTGAACTTGTCTTTCTTTCCTTTCTGCATACAAAGCTCCCTTTGAAGTAAGGGATCTTTTACAACACACCTGATTGGAATGATGTTCCAATATAGACTATCAAAGATAATAGCTTTGCACCCCAAACACAGAAAGACTTTACTTTCTCTATTCCAAAATATTCTAAAACATCTATTCTAAAATAGATGTTAAGAATTGTAGTCCCCTACTTTGGTTTGGGGGGACAAAATTGATTACAAAACTGTTCTGAACTTTCTGTTAATTAATTTCTTACCTGTTGCTTGTTATTGAGATGTAAATGTTAAGTTTAAAGTCCAATTTAACACAATATTCATTCTTCCTGCAGCACCTGAAATTCTTAGAGGCTGTGCCTATGGACCTGAGGTGGACATGTGGTCTGTAGGAATAATCACCTATATCTTGTAAGTGAAGAAAAGCAATCTCTATGGGTACTATTTGCCTTTGCTGTATATTTCTTAGGTACTTAGAATTCTCATAAAAAGCAAGATTACTTTTTGACTTTTGTAATTTTCTACAACATACTAAATGTAGTTACTGATAGACTTTTTTGAAAACAAGCATTGCATTTTCTTCTCTGATTTTCCTGGGGCCAGACCTTCTGTCCAGAGCTTTTCTACACCTCATTCTGCAGTGAAATGTATAGCAGATTTGGGGAGCAATTCACTATTTGATGATAGTAACGAATGTGAAACCCAAGTCCATCTATTTAACTTGCCCTTGTTTACTTATTTACATCTTGTCAAAATACAGTATCACTCCTTTTTAAAGGGCAGATGGCTATTTAATCTCCTAAGCAATTCCAGACAGGGGCATTTCTTGTCAGCAGTGTTTTTAATGCAGTTTGGCTATCAGTTTTGTTTTCTGTCTCTGTTAGGTCCTCAAGGACCTTGAGTTTAATATCCTAAACTCAGAGAAACCTTTTTCCTGGTAGAAAAAAGATGAGCTAAATCTCTCATTCTCTCGTATCCCCAACGCCATTTCTGAACTTCTGTCTACTAATAAAAAAGGGGTTTCAGGAAATTTGCCAAAGAATTGATGGAATTGCCGAGGAACATGAGGAAGATAAGCAAGAAGGACTGAGGAGTATCTGGGAAGACTGCCGAAGAGCAGCCACAGAAGCAAGATATCAATGAGTTCCAGAGTTTAATTCAAAACAAGTAGATTTGGTTGCCATTTGGAGGACACTGCACAGTTACTTATTGAAACCTGTAATATTCAAACTATAAAGAGACTTTAGAGGGTATAAAAGAAAGCATATTAGTCGGTCAGGCTGCTGTAACAAACTACCACAGGCTGGGTGGCTTCAACAACAGAAATTTATTCCTCACAGTTCCAGAGCTGGAAGTCTGAGCTCAGGGAGCCAGGAGGTCCGGTCCTGGTGAGAGCTCTCTCCCTGGCTTTACAGACATCTGCCTCCTTACTTGTTCCCCACATGGCAGAGAAAGAATGTAAGCTCTTTGATATCTCTTCTTCTAAGGACACTAATCCCATCATGAAGTTGGCCCACCCTCATGAATACATCGAACCCTAGTTACCTCCCAAAGGCCTCATCTCCAAATACCATCACATGAGGACTTCTCATCATAGGAATTTTAGGGAGACACAATTCAGTCCATAGCAGGAAGAGGTTTGGGATTTTTTTTTTTTAATTTAATAGTGATCTTAGAAAGTGCAGTGTCTAGGTAATAAGGGCTAGAAGGAAGGTAACTAGGGTACCCCCAAACAAATTAGTAAACTCTAAGTTCACCTGGGTATATTCAGTCATCTGTAGCCAAGACAAAAATGTTTAACAAGCAATCCAGTAAATAGCCATCTGCTACAACGTAATGTCAAAAGATAGTTTCAGTGTTGAATTCCTTGTGTATCCAGAATATACTAAAGCTTGAAAAATATTTGGAGAGGTAGATAACCATGTTTTTTCTTAGGAAAGTGCAAAACTGTTAGATAATGTGCTTGTCATCATAAGTGCTTAATTTATTAAAATGAATTCCTGAGGCCACATCATGGAATTCCTTCAGCTTACATTTGAGATCACTTCTATACTGGGAAGAAAATATTGGCTCCTGAATTAGGTAGGTGACATCAAATGAAAATCCAAACCATGCAAATAATGCATCAGATTTGCCCCTAAAATGGCAGTGTGCCCAATCAATTGCAATTTCATGCTGAAATGTGATGGGGGGTGAGGGGGGGAAGCATTAAGGATGTACAAGAACTCAGAGAGATGGAAAAACTACATCACATTCACCCTGAGAACCTGAAAAACGGAATGAGTAAAATTCCATGACATGGTCACTGACCAGGGGAAAATGAAGAGAAAAAAATGTAATTGTTGGAGAAACATCTTATCATAGCCCTGAAAATAATTTTAAAGTCTGCCAAGGACCTGGGGCTCCTGGGTGGCTCAGTTGGTTAAGCATCCAACTCTTGATCTCTGTTGAGGTCTTGATCTCTGGGTTGTGAGTTCAGGCCCCACGTTGGGCTCTATGCTGGATGTGGAGCCTACTTAAAAAAAAAAAAAAAAAAAGTCGGTCAAGATCCTTTCCCTTTGTTCACTTAAGGTCATTAATTAATAGTTGTTGGTTCAAAGTGCACAGTGGTAGCTCCCAAATGAAAATATATTATCAATGCTGCTTACAACTAATGTCCTTTAGTGCTGGCCTCACTTCTGTCAGCCCCTAAGCCCAGGGTGGTTTTATCTAATCTGTAGTTCATTAATAACTGATGAAGTCCACCAGGCGAGGTTCACTGGGACACTTCTACAAGATCGGGCCATTGGACCTATGTATCTCCTTTATTATTATTAAAAGTTCCATAAGGCTATTTTGTGCTATGACCTTTCTGTTTCTAAGGATGACAGTAGACTGGAAATGAAAGCCATTTTGTTGTTTCTCACAGGAATTCTGGCCCCTCTACCTTTTACACTTAAACCCTTTGTACCTACAGACAAAAGCAACTACTGCAATGCTCAGGTCAGAATCAGAACCCAGTAACATCAGAGATTCAGCCTCTCTCTCTCACCTTTCAACACTATAGTTCTGCCCAGTGGCTTGGAGGTTCCCTTAGTATACATTCACACTTCAGGCCTGGATAATCCTAATATCCTCCTAAACTATCATTGTCATCATTCAAATATTTCCATGTCAGAAGGCTTTTTGCCCTGTGTGTGTGTGTTGCTCTATGTCACATGGCTTCCATTTTTGGCATTTCAGGCTATGACATAAACTTCTTACTTCCATCACCAGTGCACACATTTACAGGCTTGTTTGAGAAGTGAGAAAGGCATCTGAGCACTGTACCTTCTGAACTGTCATGTTTCTTTCTAGATTTCCAGAAGGGGAAACTTAATAAGAGTTTCTTAAACTAAGCCTGGAACGTTAGCTAATTTCTCCATGACTAACAACAATAGGCTATATTTTTCTAGTGCTGTGGATGGCACAGGAGGGCCAAGTAAGGCTGAGCTACCTCCTTGTCAAGATGTGGACCTGGGCTCCCTTCTCTCCGTATGGAGCAGCAGGACTCTCTGTGTAGACTGCTGCAGTGGGACAGGAAGATTCCCTAGTCTGTGCCTCAGCACTGCCAAGCCCTGTCTTTTCCTGGCTGGCTCCAGAATATTTAAAAAAAGACAAAGACTATCCCAACAGGGTGTTCCCTGAGCAAAGGATGTGAGAAAATGTTTCTCTGTAGAAACCCACTGCACTAGAATACACTCAAACATTTCATGCTCTGCACCAACACGACCAGCTTGAAGGAAGAATTTGGGAGAATGTTTTTTAACGTGTTCATTCTTTTCCCCCCATTTTTTCTTCAGTACAACACATGCCCTGGGAGGGACTTATTATTTATAGTCCCCTTTCGATCCCTAGTGATTTCAGAACCTGTACCTGTCTGTAAACAGTGGAGGGTTTGGTGGGCCCCGACCGACAACGCACTTTTCCTCTCTCCCTTTAGGATGCCAGAGATCACGCTCTATTTCTCTTCTCCCACTTTCCCCATTCATTTATAGGCTGACCCTCTAGTGCAAAATGAAGGTGAATGTGGGTCTTTAAGACAGACAGAAGTGAGGGTCACACACAAGGCTGCATGGATGCTAGCTGCTCATCTCTGTTGGCCACATGTGTTCACTGTGTCAAGTTTTAAAAGGCCATTTCCTGACAAAAGTCTTACTTCCTGTCTTTGTTCACTCTGAAATTCAAACTGGAGTGGTATGGAAATCTAATACTTGACTCATTTCTGTGGAGGAATTCAGTGAATGGGGCTGAATAAAAATGACAAAAATCTTTTCTGTCTACCTCTTAATTTCTCTATTCTCAAAAATCCTAATTCTTGGGCGCCTGGGTGGCTCAGTCGGTTAAGTGTCTGCTTTCCACTCAGGTCACAATCCTGGGGTCCTGGGATCGAGCCCCATGTGCTCATCTTAGGGCCTCCCTGCTCAGCGGGGAGCCTGCTTCTCCCTCTCACTCTGCCTCTCCCCTGCTCATGCTCCCTCTCTCTCTCACTCCCTCTCTCTCAAAAATGAATGAATGAATGAATGAATGAATGAATAAATAAATAAATCCTTAAAAAGCTCAGAAAAAAAAAAAACCTGATTCTTCCACTTCATAATAAATTGGAACTCTAATCAATCTGTCTTCTCAATTCCCGGTGAAAAAATTACGCAGAAAGTCATTAGCATGGTGCCTGTAATAATGTTAGCTATTATCCTTGTTGTTGTTTTGTATCATAATTATTGATGTTATTATAAACTCTATTTAGAAATTCTAAGCCAGTTTGGTACCTGTTCTTACTTCCAGAGGACGTGATTGTGTATTTATACAGTCAAAAGTGAACTGTAACAAGGCAGTTACACACTTGTGCTGAGGAGACTTGCATTCATAACAGGAAGCTTGGAAAGGGCAGTCTGGAATTTCTGCAAAAATTTGATGAGATATATTTAGGCTTCTAAAGACATATTATTCCCTATCTTTTGTCCTTCTAGACTTTGTGGATTTGAACCATTCTATGATGAAAGAGGTGATCAGTTCATGTTCAGGAGAATTCTGAATTGTGAATACTACTTTATCTCCCCCTGGTGGGATGAAGTATCTCTAAATGCCAAGGACCTGGTAAGTGTGACCAAAACAAAATGAAGTAAAATCTTCACATTCATTTTTAACTAATTAATGGGCAGTGTCCTTTTTAAAATTTGCCCCTCTTAATAATTGTATTTTTAATAAAACAATGCACATAATGCATTTTTCTTGTAGATCATGAAAAACAGATATGCTTGACTCATCACTTGCTGAATTATCACAACTTAAAAATTACTGCAGTATTAGTGAGATTTTACCACCTAGTCAATGTAGAACCTTGCTTTTGAAGCCAGCTGTACTGAGTGAATTCAAACATAATTTAGAATTCCATTTTAACAGGGCTTCCCTAGATTACCTAGATTTGATTATACTTTGAATAAAACAACATTGCATCTTGAAAGGTTCAAACTTACTGAAATATCGCAATATTAGTATAAGTCCCATCATACCTTACGGGGCATCATAAACAAGTTACAGTCTACTGATAGTTCACTTTGTTTGGTTTTTTGTTTGTTTTACTTGGGTTCTTGCTTAAGCTAACATTGAAGTTTGTTTGCATAAAGGAAAGACATACATTCTGGCAAGATGGCCCACCTGTTCTAAAATAAAGGGGAGATTAGCTTGGGATGAAAACATTACCCATCAATTGTCTAGAGAAAAACCACACAGAAATAACTAAAACCTGACTTTTGAACCACAAAAGCTAGCTCTCCAAGGGATCTTATGAGTCATCTAGTCTTTCCTTCATTTTAAAAGTTGAGGGTGCTGGGGGCACCTGGGTCACTCAGTTGGTTAAGGTCACTAAGCTAAAGTCATGATCTCAGGGTCCTGGGATCGAGCCCCACATCCTTGGGCTCCCTGCTCAGCAGGGAGCCTGCTTCTCCCTCTCCCTCTGCCCCTCCCCCCTGCTCGTGCATGCATGTGTGTGTGTGTGTGTGTGTGTGTGCGCGCGCGCGCGCGCACATGTGCATGCTCATGCTCGCTCTCTCTCTCTCTCTCTCAAGTAAAAAAAAAAAAAAAAATAGAGTTGAGGGTGCTGAAGCCCAGAAAGGTGAAATGATTGTCCAAAGTCACACAGCTTCCCAGCAGAATGAATGATCCAGGTTTCCAGCCAATGCTCTTTTCCCTCCAAACATTTCCTCCTTCCCATCCATATTCTTTCATGGAACAAACCCCTATAGACCATGACTTTTCAGGACGGCCAGGCAGAGAGGCAGTGTGTGTGATGTGTGGAGGCATCCTCCCAACTCCTCCCGCAAGTCAGGCCCCACGCTCCTAAACACCTCTTGAAGCCATCCACTCCCCTCCACTCCACCACCACTGCCCCCGCCCGCCCCAGCCTCTCCTGTGGGACTTCTGCCACAGTCTCCCTCCCCACCTCCCCCTGTGGCCTTCCCACCGCCTCCACACAGGATCCGGAGGAAGGGCCTAAGAAATAAACCACATCCTGTCACTCTCCTGCTTTGAGGCTCTTAGGGTAAAATCCAAAATCTGTAACCAGATCTACATAGCACCACCTAGACTGGTCAGGAGTCTGTCACCCTGCCCATGCTACCCATTTCACTGCCCTGTCCGCTGATGGGCTTCACTCCAGGGCACCAGACCCACCAGTCCCTCATCAGGGTAGCTCAGGATGTGGGCCGCTACCCTACTGTTCTTCCCTCCTTTCTTCCTCCCTCTCCCTCCCCACCATCTCTCTCTCTCTCTCTCTCTCTCTCTCTCTCACACACACACACACACACACACACACACACACACACACACACCCCCCTCTCGCATGAGTAAGTCTTAGTGTCAAGGCCTAGTTGCCTTTGACATCCCCCTGGTGGCCTTGTCTGCCCCCCCTCCCACCGCCCAGCAATCCCTCCTTCCCACAATTGCTTTGTTCCTTCTGCCACGTTGTTCCGTTGCCCCCTGGACTTACTCTTTCATGATGGTTGTGACTTATATTTACTTGTGGGAAGAGCTTCTTTAGCTAGATTGTAAGTTCTGGGAGAGGTCGAGACATGTGTGCCCAGATCTTAGTACCATTTGGGCGTAGAGTACAGACTCAGCAACTGTTTTTCGAATGAAACGATGAATCAGGAAGTAGACCATGGATTTTTAAATTCTGACATATCTGGATTCAAGAGCCCTCTTAGTCATAACCTAGAGGTGTGACCTGGGGCTTGTTATCTAATCTCTCTGCTTTAGTTTTCTTTTCTGGGATGATTCCAGTACCTTTCTCTAGATTGCTGGGAGACTTAAGGGCTATAATGCAGGTTAACTGACTACCACCAACTAACTCCCTAATAGTTCCTTTATATAGCCCTCCTTCCATTTCTTTCATCGCTAATAAAAAATCAAATGGGTACAAGGGTTAGCTGTGGTATGCCTTCATTCAGCTAAATCTTACCTTTGAGCTAATAAATTTATAAAACTTCAGCACTAAAGGAATCCTTGCATACCATAGATGTGTACCTATCAGCAGCACCCGCATCTATTGTGAAATCAGCAGGGGAACAGTGCCGATGAGTGGTAAGGTCAGGTTGTAAGGGGACTGTAGGATTAGGGCAAGGCTTTAGGGTTGAATCTTGACAAGGTCATGGGGCTCTCTGACCTTCAGCAAGTTTGACAGTTCAGTGCATCCATATCTTCAAATGCAAAGATTAACGCCAACAGGTGGGAATTTGGGGGTACGTACTGACTTTCAGTAAGTTCTTCATATTTTCACGAGGAGGATGGTAATGATGAGGAAGATGAGGATGATCGGAAAATGGGAGGGAAAGATCTCATTGTGAATTGTTAAGGATTAGGTACCGTTTGTACGAAATTATTAGGACATGTATCCCACAGGTGACAGCTATGACTGCAATCAGATTTTTATTTACTGCTGTGCATTCATTTTCCTTAATCATCTGTGCCTCCCAATTTTTAGCGTAAGCAGCCTCACATCTCTGCCCTCTACAAATTCTGTTTCTCTACCCCAAACACACATTTCTTTGCAGCTTTTGCAGAAAAGAAGAGGAGAACCAGATATTTGTTCTTCTTTTGACTTACTGCCTGATTGTGCTAGCCCGTACTCAGTTCTTGTTAGCTTAACAGAGTTAGAGAAGACCTTAGGCCTTATATCACCCATAGCCCCCATTTGCCACATGGGCAGATGAAGGCCAGAGGGGTGGACTGCCCTTGGAGGCACTGCGGTGTAGTGGCCACAAGATGAGCTCTGAGGTAAGACAGACCTGAGTTGGAATAGAGCCTCCACCAGTTACAAGTTGTCTGGCCTTAGTTAAGGCACTAAATTTTTCTGACCTTCCTTCCATCCCTCATTTATGAATTGGAGCTAATTGTTCCAAGTTGATAAGGTTATGGAAAGAATTACACAAGTTTTTAAACATTTTTATATGTATGTAAGAATGTATTTACAAAGGAATTAAGGTGGAAAAGAGATCATATAAGAAAAGGGCCTAGGAGAATGTCCATAGGCACTCAATTCGTATGTCGGTCTTTGTCCAGACTCACAAAAGTGGGTAAGAGATGTAACTAGAGCTTGAACGTGCCTCCTAACTCTTAACAGTCTCTACCTCATTCCAGGTCACCCCTTCTGAGCCCAGGGCCAAGGATTATTTTGGTTGTTGATCTTCCTGGCAGTTTATTATCTGCTCATTCTCAGGGATCAACCTCCCAGAATGGTCTGCCATGGTTTGAATCTAGTCCTTTAAACAAATCATACCCCTAAACCACTGACACCCTTTTACTCCAGCACTTGGCTTATTCCTTCACAACCTTCAAGGTATTGGAGTGAATTTTCTCACAGAATGATGGGATAAGCATAAAAATTATACTATCTCTTTGTTGCCATTTAATCCCCACCGATGGGACACCTTCGGCTCAGGTCATGATCCCAGTGTGCTGGGATCGAGTCCCGCATAGGGCTCCTTGCTCAGCGGGGAGCCTGCTTCTCCCTCTGCCTGCCACTACCCCTGCTCATGCTCTCTCTCTCTGTGACAAATAAATAAAATCTTTTTAAAAAGATCCCTTCAGAAAGCGTGATGAATGCACGATGATTCCATCCCCATTGAGATGCATCTGAAGTTCTAAATCTAACTGGTGCTAAGTACAGCCTAGAATTATTCAGATGCTGGTTCTCCTTCAAAGAACTTCCAGTCCACAGGCGACCAAGAACCTGTCTCCTTGACCTCCCTTGGAAAGCCACCTGCCAGTCTGGCTTCTCCGGTGGCACACACCACTGTCTACTCAGCCCCCTCAGCAACTGCTACCTGAAGCTATCCTTACAGTGACCACTGAGGGCTTAAAAGCTTTTTTTTTTTTTTTTTTTGGTATAGTTAGTGGTACTGCTAGGAAAATAGAATAAAACCTAGAAGTTCACAGGCTGGGTCACTATAAAAATCTCCCTAAGAAATCTATGGTTCTTCATCATTTCAGGTCAGAAAACTAATTGTTTTGGATCCTAAGAAACGGCTGACTACCTTCCAAGCTCTCCAGCACCCATGGGTCACAGGTAAAGCAGCCAATTTTGTACACATGGATACTGCTCAAAAGAAGCTCCAAGAATTCAATGCCCGGCGCAAGCTTAAGGTAAGATATGTTTTGTTTTGCTCTGTTTTGTTTTGTGTTTTGTTTTGTTTTTTTTAAATCTCTCTCTCAGCTTGAACTATTAAAGATAATTCCATTTATTCTTCATCTAATATTATTCAGTCTCCTGTGGTACCAGGGAAAATCCTGCCTTGAAATCCCAACAATACTGGTGTAAAGCCACTGAGGGTCATGTTATTCTCTCATAAGAACTCATTGTTAATAAAGGGAAATGTGTTATAGGTTGAGATTTACTCACCAAATATATGATCACTGCTTCTCATTTAATTAAGACTGAACTGCTTAAACAGCATTGCTCAGGAAACTGATACTTATTCAGAAAGTTGCCTTCTTTCTGAATATGTGAAAATTGGGAAACTTTTTTAAAAACCTGTATTTTGTAATATAAATAAATTCCCACACTTGATAAAAATTAAAATACAACTGACCTTTGAACAACGCTGGGGTTAGGGGCACAAATTCCTCAACACAGTTGATCTACCTATAACTTCTGACTCCCCAAAAACCTAATCACTAATAGCCTACTGTTGACTGGAAGCCATTACCGATAGCAGTCGATTAACACATATTTTGGATGTTGTATGTATTATGTGCTATATTCTTAGAATAATACCTAACTCTTTCTTAATGTTTTGGGTATTTCTAGGCTACACACTTTGTGAGTTTTTTCAATTGTTACAGACCTCCAAAAATTTTTTTCAATGTGTCTGTTGAAAAAAATCTGCGTATAAGTGGACCATTGCTATTCAGACCCATGTTGTTCAAAGGTCAACTGTAATTCACATGATATGAAAATTATCCAAAATATATCTTTGTATAGAATATATATGGAATATATATTGATGATTTTCTCTTACATAATGGTGTTTAAGACTTACTACAGCTGCAGAGGATTTCAGAGAACAGCTGAGGGTCAAAAATAATCACTTACAGGCTGATAAAGTAAATAAACCTTAAAGGTTGTGTGGTCAAACTGATTTGAAACACCTTGGGTTAAATAACCTTGACTTAACCCAGGACTTCTCAAACAAACTTGACCATGGAATTCTTTTGTCGTGTAATACTAGTGTTCCATGAAACACTTTGGGAAACAAAGTCCAAAATATTTGCAAACAAGTAATCCAGGGGCAAACACATTTATCCAAGCTTTCACTTGTCCAGGTGATTAAATACAGTAGGCTTGAGATTAAAAAAGATTTTGCTGTTCATCTCCAGACAAGTTTTCATTCAACCATCTTAGAATATATTTTGAACATATAAAACAGATACAACAAACTCCCTAAATGCAAAGCTGAGACTGAGCTCTGATTCAGGACTGGAAGTGGACATAACACCTGACGCTTGTCTATTTCCAATCAGGCAGCAGTGAAGGCCGTAGTGGCCTCTTCCCGGCTGGGCAGTGCTGGCAGCAGCCACGGCAGCATCCAAGAGAGCCAGAAGGCCAGCCAAGCGCCAGCTCTGACCCAGGATGGCAGTGAAGATGTTAAAGCTATTTCGGAAGGAGAGAAAGCTCAAGGAGGTGGGGCCCAGGTGGCAGTTGACGGGGCAGAGGCTGAGCTGATGAAGGTACAGGCCGTAGGGGAAGTTAAAGATGCGGATAGAAAGGCTACCAACATGGTGTCCAAGGCACTAGAGGATGGGATAAAGGCGGTTGCCCCGGAAATAGATGAGGGCCTAGTAGAGGAGAAGCTGAAGTCCATGGAGGAAGCAGCAGTCCCCAAAGAAGTGCAAGAAAACCCGGCTCTGGGATTTGGAGCTCAGCAGAATGACGTGGTCCTGCCAGAATACTGATTTGGCTTCTTTCCAAACTGGAAGCCAAATTCTGGCACTTTATGCATTTTGTCCTTCAGCAAGGAAGGTGTGGAAGCATGATATGCACTATAGTGATTCTGTTTTTTGAGGTGCAAAAAAATAATACATATCTATCAGTTGGTAATCCTAAATTCATGCATGTGACTGCTTTATGAAAAAATAGTGTCTTCTATGGTATGTAATGGATACCTAATGCCGAGGAGTTAAATTTGAAATTGCAAGTAAACACAACATTTAAAAACATACATGTTCAGGGACCAGTAGCACATGTTGAAGTAACTAGTAAATTGTTTTTGCTTTGAAAACCTAGTCATCATAATCCTTTGGATTTCTTCATAAAGCAGTAATTCCTTTGGACTCTTGCTTAACTAATATTAGGTAGTGCTCTAAGACGTGTTCCCATGGCATTCACAACATTATACTTTTCAATGTGCTCAAACTGTCCAATGTGTTCAAACTGTTTACAAGGAGATGGTTACAGGTTAGTTTTATGATACATACAAAAAAAAAAATTCCCACTTAAAATGGTAAGAAATTGAAGCATACGTAAGGGCCGTGAAACAAAATGCCCTTAAAGCTTGTGTAGAGAATGCTTTCTTATTTTGTCCTTATTTATACACACTGTATTACTAATAACCAAAAATGTTCTATCACAAAATCCTGCCATTTTACAATCCTGGAGAAAGCATTTTACAAACTCATGCTGAGGGATGTACTGCTTCCTTCCCCTGCTAATACAGTTTCTTTCTCATGGACAACACTTAAGGTGGGCTAAAGAAATCGAGGGAAGAAAAGGAGCTAAGCGCTGGACTTAACTCTCACAAAGGTTGACTGCTTGTCATTTTCAGATAAAATTGGATTTATTCATGAGTTTCTACAACTTTAAAGACAGTGACCTTTTTATGGATAAACTCTACTATTACCAAGTTTCATATATTTAGAAAAATCTACCCCATAGGCTGGTGCCAGAATGTCTGAAAAGAGTGAGAATAATATTCCATTATAAGATCGTTCATTATTGATTTTACTAGATTAAGGAACCTTGTTTATGAAAGTCCTTTTTTCCTTCAATTGATGGTTATCTAGATATATTGCTTATGAACTAAAGATATTTCTGAAAATCTGTCATATCTTTTTTTCATGCTTGGAATAGAAGTGCCCAAATTTTACAATGTAGTTTTTAGTTTCCATGCCAAGAAATTTAAGACAGTGCAACGTTTTGTTTACCTTAAAAAAAAAAATGAAAAGAAAGCACTGATTTCAAATCAGACTCATGAGAAGCTGTAACATTAGACCTAATACTTCACCATGATGTTTTTTCAAAGTATTTTTCTTTGATTTTCATATGAACACTTTCCCCCTATAGAAATCACACTTAAATTCCAAGTACCTCGTATTTATTTCTAGTTTGAGTTGAAGTGAACGTTTTTATCGATTTATGCCTCATTTTAAGTTTTCCTCAGTTTTAAAAAAGGATTGTTCTCAAAGACCAAAACGATGACAGTAAAAATGACTGTCACAGAAAAGTCCTCATCAAAAAAGATCTTAAATTCTTTTGGCTCTTTCTCAAAACTATGAAATTGGAAAACGAAATTAAATCTCCGGTTCCTGGGGGGGCTACTGGACCTTGGGAGACATTCTGCTTTCCAAGTGCAAATCTTCCTTTACTACTGTTCTCATGAAAAGAAAATAAGGTAGGACTTCTCATCACCCATAGTTTAGGGGCCTGGCAGGTCATCAACATGGACAGAGGAAAAAGCCCTTAAGGGCACATCATCTGGGCTCAGAAGAATATTTTTTGTTTTGATTTATTTTTATTAGCTAGTAGAGAGTACTTGTCCACTTCCCCCATTTCTTTCCTTCCCTCTTTATCCTCTCTCAGAATTTCCATGTTAGTAATTGTAAAGGGCTCACTATTTTTAACCTTTAAGAATGCCTTTTTCACTAAGCATTAACATTTCCATGTAAGAAGATCAATTGCCTGGTGTACTTTTCCTAATGAGACTTAACAGGCATACAGGGTAAGTGTCCCATATATTGGAAAAGGAAAGAAGAGAGGGAAATGCATTGTCTTAGAAGTGGCAATTAGTTGGAAGATCAGTACATACTGCCCCTCCTGGCCCACCCCCACACTGTTCCAAGGGTGGGCAGTTGTCCTATCATTCCATCGCTCAGGCCTGACTGCACCGCGGCGCCCTGTGTAGCAGGAGCCGTGAAGAAAGACAATCTTGAATTTTTTTCCCATTTTAAAAAAGTCTAATTGGAATCCTACTGGTTTTTTCAAACTAAAAGAGCTCATTTATCCCACAAGTACATAAATGAGGTAGAAATTAGAATGATTGTAGAAGTTATCATCTAGAACAAGTGCTATTACTCCATTGTATAATCAATATGAAAACTTAATGAGATATTTTGAATTTTGAATTTTTATACTAAGTTTTCAAAATCAGGAGTATATGTTATACCTTTAGTACATCAAGTGCTCAATAGCCACATGTGACTAGTGGCTAATGTATTGGAACGAAACTGTTCTACAGTACTTCTTAAGCAAAATGACACATGGATTCCTATGCTTGGATTTGAGCTGCTTCAGTTTCACATGGATGAGCCTAGGAGGCCAAAAAGAAAATGGTTCAAAAGTGTCATAGACTAAAATAAGTAAAAACTCTTGGCCACATCTGCTTAATCATGTGCTTCAAAGGGATGTTTCCCAACATGACTTTTAGAAAACAGTACTTTCCTGGGCATTGCAAAATTGTCTGTTGGCTATAGTCCCTCGAATCCCTCTTTGGGCCCTGGAATCTTGACCACCGGCTAGAGTCTCCTGAGTACTGTCATAAAGTCAATAGTATTCTTGTGTATGAAAATTTACTGTGAGCCAACCATGGGTCCCCGTTCGGGAGGGACTGCGCAAAAAATGTTAATAGGATTTTGTAGGGCTAGACTAAGCTGGGCATCATTTTTTAACAAGCAATTTTTCTTTCTACAAATCTACTGAAACATACTAAATTTACTAAATGAGGGTGATGATATCATCCCAGTAACCCCCAAAATGGGAATGACCACTGGCTGGCATTTTTTAGATTTCCTTAGAACGATTTAATCAACACTGCCATTATACATGGATTCAAAAGACTTAGAATGTTCTTACATACTGCTATTTTAGAGTAATCCTCAAGGTTCTATAGCCATTTTTAGTGGCAAACTTAAAAAAGAAAGGAGTAACTTGCCTTTTACTGTGACCTCAATTACATAGTATCTTAAGCATATTTTGTAATTTAGAATGTCTAGCAACCCCTATTTCCAGTTTCACATGCAAGGTAACTGCTGGTGGGCTGCCTACAAACCGAAGATTTAGAGAGAGCCATTTTGTCTCATAATTCCGTTTTTATTTCACAGAAGCATCTGGTTGCATTTCAAATTGGAAAAGAGAAGTAAATGCCAGAAAAGGCAAAGAATAAAATTAGTAAAACATTTATTCGATTTTAGGATTGTTCTTGCAAAGCAAATGAAAAAAGAAAAAAAAAAGAAAAGTCAACGAAGTGAATCAGCACTAGGTTTTTCTGGATGAAGGTTGACTTCACATAAAATTGAAATAAATATACTGAGCAGAGTCATTTACATAACTACAGTGCCATTATGTAATTTACTTGTCATTGCAGAGTATTCAGTCTGGTTATGTAGGTCTTCTTTAGATGGTGCAAAGTTTCCAGACATTTGCCTACATAATAGGATTTGTAATATCCTTGCAATTACTATCTATTAGGTCATATTCCAATTTCCTTAATGTTCATCATGGATATGTTCCTCATATTAGGGTCATTGCTAACATCTGAGCATTTACTGGTTAAGTACTGCTTAATGGCTAGACTCTATGTATGTCATCTGTGTTTTTTAAAAACATTTATGTGCATGTAAACACAATATTGGCATTATAATATTCATAAGCATATGATAAGCAGAAATGTACCCAATAACTTTCTATACATTTTTTTCAAAGTTCTTTTCTTCCCCTGGCACAACTCAGGGTGAGTTTCTGGCTCCTTGACAAATAAGGAAAAAAAAAGACCACTGGAGAGATACCAGCTACCCACCATGTTTACCAAGCTCAGCATTTCCTCCTTCTACATTTTGATCTACTAAGGGCCAGTTTTTGTCATTATTACTCCGTTCAAATATCACCTGAGATCAGATAATATAATCTCAGCTCACAAAGCCCAACCATTTATGTACTTACCTTGGAGAGCAATAACAAACTTGACTAATTTATGTTGGCTTGTTTAAAATTCCAGTTTTCATAAATGTTTGTGATATATTCTAGAGGATTTGATTGCATGATTTTAACTTCTTTCAAGAATCAGCCTTTTCCCTTTCACGTGGCCCAGAGGTCCACATAGAGCAAGATGGAAGCCTTGAATGAGAGCGGACCATCTGACTCCTTTGCAGGAATCAGACATTGTTCAGAAGACTCCAGGTGTGTCTGACCTGGTTGAGCTCAGATGAGCCAAATGGAAAGAAACCTCTTCCCATGCTCTGACTGAAAGTGATGTTATTTGAATATTGGTATATTCCCGTTATTCAGTAATGAAAAAATGGGACTCCACCAGTCAGTTACTCTTTCCCGTGTCTTGGTTTGCTAACACCTTTCCCAAATCAATGTTTTGTTCCATCCTTCTGGCCATCAGGTTGCTCTCTCAGCTTGTGAGATCTTCTAAAACCCTGGAAGGAGGATCCCGGACTTGTTGGAGAAATGCGGGGCCCTTGGTGGCCCAGAGTTTAGTTTGAAACTAAACAATAATGCTAAGGCTACAAAATCATGCTTGTTCATTTAATAGGTGTTTTCAGCACATTTTGAAGATTGACCTGGAAAACCCATGGATATGAAATGGTTACATCTGTGTAATCTTTGCTATGACTCATTGTTTAAAATGACAGGTATTTCATCTTCAGTCAGTTGAAAATAATATTTATTTTCCATTTAAAAGATTATTTGGGGGCACTCAAATACAATAGGCTTCACATTCGAATTTTTGAAAGCTGTTGTTTTCCCTAAGTGCTCTCACTCTCTGACCATCAGTTGTGGATAAAAATTTATTAGGTTAGTCCTTTCTTTGTCCTTTCCTTGAACCATGTATAGTAGTTCATCTGGTTTGTAAAGGATGTAAGTATCACTATAAATTGAAAACTGTCATCTTATAACTGCCTCCTGTTAACCGGACCTATTTTATCGCCTATCATGCAGCGACTCACGGTAGCATAAGGTACAAATAGCATATTCATGAGCGATGATTTTTACTTTTTATTGTCAAGGTTATTACTTGCGTTAGAAGTTCTCAAGGTGTTTCTCTTCGTACACCCTTAGTCTCAGTATTATTTTCATGGTCCTCCCAAAGCCAAAAAATTTATCTAACATGTCCATTTACTAAGTAGTTAGGCCCAAACAACACAATAGTAGTATTGCATTCCATATCTGATAGATGTGGCTGTGTTTCCCTGGAAATTTTAAAATTTCTTGTGAGTTCACTGAGTGGCAATAGCTGACAGGGGTTTAAGTAATTCCTTATGCCCAGTGAACTAAGGGTATCAGGCAAAGGGTATTATTACTAGTACATGAGTTAGAAGTTACTGTTTATACTTTCTTATTTGAATATCAATCATTCTTTTATCTATGGTTTTTATGATATACATATAAAACTTATATGCACATTTTTTAAAAAGCAATTTCCCCATCATTACCCAAGGAAATACATTTAAATCTCCAAAGAACAATTTTCGGGAATCAGGCAAACTATGGTTCATAGACCAAATCCACCAGAGGCCTGTTTTTATAAATAAAGTTTTTATTAGAACACGACCATGCTCATTTATTTATATATTGTCTGGTTGTTTTCACACTACTAGGACAGAGTTGAGAAGTTTCAACAGAGACCGAACCGGATGGCCCATCAAAGCCTAAAGTGTTTATCTGACTCTCTACAGAAGAAAAAAAAAAAAAAAGACCCTGGTCTTTCATGGCACCCCATGTTTTTTTGCTGACATCTAGGAATATAGATTCCCATGGTTTCCTCTACTTAGCTTAAGGTTCTTATTTCCCAGAGGAAGCTAGGAGAGCTTTGTTTCTGTTGCAGATGGTCTCACAACAATAATTGTGCTGTATATACAACTTAACAGTGAAATATCCCTACAGAATTAAAAATTCCAAATTGCATCATTCCTGAAAAAAGAAATTTAGAGTATGAATTGACCTGGTTAAGAGAGGGGAATTAAAAAGTTTTCTAGCATTTTGAGCATGTTTTAGAAATTTGATCTTTATATTTAAAATCATGTAAATGATATCTTACACTGATATTTGCTCATATTTAAGTCAATCTTCAGCTGTTACTTTAGTAAACTAAGAAATAAGAGAGCCCCTTGGTTCTGAATCCTTCAGAATGTTCTTAAGTAATTTATATCAACTGGATTTTCATTTAATCATTTTTAGGAAATAATATATTATGTGGCTTTCAATGACCATGGTGGGCTCATCAGTAGCTGAGGGGCAGGCAAACAGCCAATTCTTTTATGTAAGGAAGCAACTTTCCAATCCCCAGTCTCAGGGATCTTCTGAGAGATACTTCATTTCTTCGAAAAGAGAGGGCCTTGAATAAATGCTTGCTTTTACTTTTCTTACATATTTAGAAATCCAAGAAGGGCCCTTCTCTTAGTCTATTTCTGTCAAAGAGAAATGATTCATTCCACAATATCTGCCTTAAGGGAAGCAGGTAACCCAGATATTGAGAAATGTAGGCATGCATGTTGACTTTGAACATCTGTAGCCAAAAGGTTACAAATGAGGTATTGCATAGAAAAGCTATTATCAGCTTATTATTAGGAACATCTAAAATGATATCATGACTCTAACTAAATAATATGCTGTTTTCTTTAAACTGTTGCAGTAATTAATAATAGGATGTACCACTGGGATACACTATAGAACTCAGGGAAAAAAAGAGGTGAATTGTCTGCTGCTTCCTCACAGTTCCTGTGTGTAAGAAGGAGACTTTACTGGAATGGGACAGGGAAGAGTTAAAACCATGAGGATTCTGTGCTCCCACCTGCCCATCTTTATTGATGGGTCAGAGCTTGAAGGCAGTTGTTAAGACTTAAATTCACATTTCTACATTTCTCTCAATAATTGGGTCACCTGCTTCCCTTAGAAATTAGAAATGAATAGACCATAGTCAACAGCTAAGTTTCCTCTCAGAACCAGACATTAAACAGTAGTACTAGTTTAGGGGATATTAGACCTACATCACAGCACACTTTAAGGAAATGATGTGCCAATTTTGAAGCTTCTCAGTATTTCCCAGGCACCCATTTTCTCTGTAAACTTTCACTGAGAAACAGTTGTGTACGATGAAGGAGTTCAGAGATGAATTAAGCCCAGTGAGCTCCCCTCTAGGAGTGAGCTTTGCAGTTGGGAGAGAAAAAACAGGGGTACAGACACAGCCCATGCTAAATCTAATCCATCCTCTAGGGATGGAAAGGAGAAACTCCTTTCTGCCTGTAATGATGATCTAGCAAAGCTTCATGGGAGCACAGGCTGGATTTGAAGGATGGGGAGAATCTTTGCAGGGAGGGAGGAAGAAGGGGGCAGGTCTGGCTGAGAAGTCTACAGAGCGGAGAAATGCCAGGCCCAGTGGTGAAGGAGCAACACCTGCGTGAAAGGCTAACCTCTACAGGGAAATGTTACTAAGTCTGCAGAAAAGCCTGGGATCTTGTGCAAAGTTTAAATTAGACAGACCTCCTTTCTTATTCTGGGTAGGTAAGTGTGCAGCATTTCCTCAGAGCATCTAGCCCTCTGGGATCTCCTACATGGAGCTTGGCTAATTCGGTGCATTCCTAAGTAGAATTAAAAAAACACCCAACACATCAAAGACATTTTTCAAGTCACCTGTTGAAGCAAAGCCTCTGTCACTAAAAGCAAAAACTGCACTGGCGAGGTCTCCACTGACAAAGCAGAGTAAACAGTGAGTGATTTCTGAGTAAGCTTTGCAGAACTCCAGTATCTGAATAACTCCCTGGGACTCTAGAAAATCACCTAACCACTTGCTGAAGTTTTGCCAGTAGAGGCCCATGTCAAGGTTCCTTCTGTCATAGTTATTTTCACCTTTAAGTTATCAGACCTGAAAGGGCGATCCCCACTGGGATAAATCATACTGAACGTTTAGACTTCAAGACAACTTGTAATAAAAAGTTAAATCTCAGACAACAAGATGTGAAATTTTCACAACTGCATTCCCCAGACATCAAGCTGGTCCTGTCAAGGTCTCTCTTCTACCTCCCCCTCCCCTCTGGTTCTTTACACAGCCTTCTATAAATCCCTTTTTCTATCACTCATGGCAGGCAGTATTTGACCTCCAAGAAACTTACTTTTAAAAAAAAATATTTACCCACTAGAGTCAGATTACACGATATCTATCCTTCTAGTAGTCTTGCCACTTGGCTTGTCTCAGATTCTGTCTGTGAGTAGTGAATGACTGCAGGACTCCTCAGGGCCAATGAAACAACAAAGGTTGGGACAAAGAAGGGACAAACGTTGACTATGATCCAAGCGATGGACAAGCAGCAAAGGCAGATACTGTCTTAAGAGATACGAAGAGAAGCTAAGAGCTACTGTGAGTGCACAGAAAACCCAAGTTAGCAGGCATTGAGAAAGGAATACTTCCTACCAGGGTTTTTCAGGCTTGTGAAATGAGCTGGTATGTCTTGTCTCGTTTTTCCTAGAGGAACAATTTGTATTTCGCGGTTGTTGAAAGTTTCCTGGACTCAAGGGACATAAGCTCAGAGCAGCATGGAGGATTCGATTGATGGGATACCGTTATATACAGGGAATCTACGTGTCCAATAGTTTAGACTGCTATTAGCTAGAAACAAGTGCATGTAGGATACAGTATAAAAATTTCAGTTTACACAGCCAAGGTCACAGGCCGCCTTCCCGATGTCTGACTGCAAAGTACTGCAAAAGGAGCTGTGAACATTTCATTTCTAAAATCTGTCAAAATGGTGCTATTGACTCCTTCATACAGAGATCTATTACAATATTTTTTAGATAAACATGTAAGCTGACCTAGGCCATAATGTAAATACAGAAAATGTTTGTAGAGAATTCATCAAAATCATGCCCGTTTGCTTTTGATTGAGCGTCCCTGTTCTTCAGTGGCAGTGACTGACCGTGGGTCCCTGCTTCCCACAGATGGGACACAGAGTCCTTGGCGCTCTCCGCTGCCCAAAGCCCGGGGCAGAGGACATGCACGCCGTAGACAACTGCTTCTTCTTGGACTCAGGTTGGATAACCTGATTAAATGACTAAACATGCTCATTTTTTGGTGTTTCCTAGGAACATGAAAGAAGAATATGTGACATGTGGCAAAATGGATATTGGTAGACTGTTGAAATTGACCTTAGTGAGGGCCGATGTTACTTTGTGTTAAGTTCACCCAGCTATGTCAGAGCATGCCAAAAGAAGCATATTCCTTACTGCTGCGAAATCTGTAAAGCAATTTGCATGTACGGTATGATAATAAATCATCGAAGAGCCCACCGAAAGTTTGCATTCTGTGATTTGAAGCGTTACTACAATTTAAGAGTGACACGATGGACATTCTCCTTACCTGTGAAATAGGGAGTTGAATTGTTTTCCCATTCTCTTGAGATGAAATTACACTTTGAGTTTCATAGCCTCTTTAAACACTATACAGTGATGTCATGAAGTCCTAAAATTATTAAAATTAAAAGGGGACCTTATTCATCACTTAATCCAACAAGCTCATTTTATTAAAGAGAAGAGAGACCCAGGGAGGCAATGACTTATCAGAGGTCACAGTTCGTGGTGAGGAAGAGAACAGACCTGGGTTGCCCGTCTGTTCAAGTCAGTTCACTGGATAAAAGTTAAATGCAGCACTTCAGAGAAAAACTGACTTTTCATTATAAAAATTTGAAAATACAGAAAAGTAGAAAATCACAATAACACCTTCCAAAGGCAAGCACTGTTGTTTTTTCTCTAGCATTAGGTGACTTTTTTCTTACAGACTTGTAATTGTATTATAACTTTTTTTGTACCAGTGTATCCCTATAGCACAACCATTTCTATATAATCATCACAAACATTTATGATAGCTGCATAATGATTCAGTCTCAGTTCTTTTTCTTTTCTCAGTAATACTACATAAAGCCTTTCCTGTATTGGGGAACATCTATCCTAAGGAAATAATCCTAATGTGGCGTTGCTCATTGCTGGACCAAATGGTATTTAGTGGTCACTTCATGATGATGCTTGCAAACCTACCGGACCTGAGAATGAGAGGCAAAAAAGTGCACGTTCACTCTTAAGAAGCTGATTGCAAGAGTTGTAAAAAGAGCTCCGAGTCTTAAGCTTGGCCACTCAATGAGCAAGCATTTGTATGAAATATCTGAGGGGAAGGGGCTTGCTCTCAGAACCGTGGCTTGCTACTACCATTAGGTCCAAAACCCTTGCTTTGTTGAGAAGACACTTATCCTAAACAATGACTTCTCAACTGAGGGAAATGCTAGAGAAAAATAAAAACCTCTCCCATCTGCAAGTCCGTTTTTTATATAAACACATTTTTTTATTTCAACCTGGTTTTGTACAATCTCGAGACCACTTCCTTGAATTAAAAAATCAGCTGCTTTGTATTGAAGGGATGTCACAAAAGCAAAACCTAAGTAGGAAGGTAAAGCTCCTGAAAAAGAATACTATCCAAATAAGGAATAAAAAGCCTCGTTTAGTACTTTTACGCTATGCTTCCACCATTATTTTTACCAGCAGAACAGTACAGCCCCCTAATTACCCGG